AAAGACCTCCAGCTACAATGTATTAATGAAAGTTCTGGCTTCCTTCAGGGAAGAAAAGAAATAAAATTTACCTACTACAAGGAGGTGGTTTGTGTGGATTAAATTACACGATAATTATGAAATACTATAAAAAGGTATTATCTGTCAATTGCAGGAGAGCCTTCTAAATATTTATACTGAATATAATGAATATTGATATTTTACATAATAAATTACAGTAAACTGAGGTCATAAACACAAGGAATTGATTACATTTTACTTCAAGTCTAACTCACAGACAACACCAAACAACAATTATTTAATTAAAGCCAACCTGTTCCTCCATTCCCCTCTCCTTGCTGCCAATAACTGCTTGTGAAAAATCAAAGCAAACCCTGTCTTCTAAGTGATGTCCAAACTACTCTGTGGGCAAATACTCTTACATTGAGCCAAACGCTTTATATTATTTTCTCTGAGCTAAAAAGATATGTTTGCACTGAAAAACTGGGCTTGATCCCCATGCCAGTTAAACTTCAATACCTTCCTGGGAACCACATGACTCTGTCTAATGCACATTCTCAGGGATTAGAAGCATCCTTTTCCCAAATCCGAAATATTCCCCAAACCATTCTGCATCTACTTTCTCATTGTTAGAATGGTTGAAGATGATGAATGCATCCAATTATGGCTCCATTAGACTGATAACTATTGTGCAAGCAGGTATATCTTAGATGCTTTACTCAGGCTGGGGGAAAAAAAAGCACTCTTATTTGTTGGCATTCCAGAATTTGGTTTAATAACTCTAAACCTTACATAAAATACATATATATTAAAGCAAACCTGCTGGCAACAACAACCACCTTTTTTTTTCTTTTTTTTTTTTTCTCTGTAAGACTGCAAAACAGCCTGTTCTATTGTAATACGCTTGAAGCCATCACAATGCCATTCCAGCAAGATGAGTCACCTTACATTGCTAGAAAGAAAATACATAAAACGTATACAGGGAGAAGAAATAAACCTATTCTTACTGTTAGCTCTAAGAAACCATCCTAGAAAATGGTGTGACAGGAACTGACCTTCTATTAAAAGGAAAAAAAATCACTAACGTTTCATGTAGAAAAGGTCTCATTTCCTTCTATAATATTTGTGTTTTTCAAAATACTATCAGCAGGTGCATCAGCTTTCAAAAACCTCTTGTCCTTCATCACATATAATTGTGCTGCATATTATATTAAGAAATACAAGTGGAGGAATGTAAGTGATGGGAGTTCAATTAAAAACAGCATAATATCTGTTGCATAGAAAATGATTCTGCAACTGAAATCAGGTTTTAATGAGAGGAAAAAAGGAATACATTTTCACATATTTTTAATTACATAGAATTTCCTCAAACATGATTTTTAATAACATATTCCATTAGGTTAACATCATATTTAAAGAAAGTGCATTTTCTGATTTCATTTTAAGTCTGATTTTGAGCAATTATTGTGTCATTGTTCTGCAGTAGAAAGGTTGAATTCATTTACTGTGTGGTTATGCTAGTTATGATTGATGTCGCTTCTCCAAATGATAAACCAATCACCCCGATGATGTAATGTCATTTTAAGAGTGCTATAATCACATTTCTCTCAAACTAGAAGCTCTGATGAGTTCTAACAAAGATTTATTGTAGATTAAAGGCCTTCATAATATCAACAATAGATTGCTCATTTGATGGAAAATTTGATTAGTTTTTTTTTTTTTTTTAAACAAATGAATTTTCCAAACCTATCAAGAATGGCTATTGTGAAGGGCACAGCATGGTACATATGGATGACTATCATCTCATATCCAAGAGGACCCATCTTAAACTTGTTGAGGAGACAACCTATAATTGCAGAGGCTCAAGCAAGCATAAGTGTACAATCAAGCAAGAAACCCATATAATGTGATCAGTCTTCTGCAAGTATTTCATCTTCAGCATGCACTTTGAAGACCACTAAAGAGATATTTAAAAGAAGAACCTAGAGAGTGCTAGCAAATATTTATTAATAAACATATATTATGTGGAACCTAAGCCTTAAATCTAAATGTCTTCAAAACTTTATTTTTTATCCAAACCCAAATTTAAACAAAATATTTTGTTTAATCTAATCTCTTCAAAATATCTGGATCTCTGTTGCTAAGTTTACAAAGGCCCTAAAATGGATTTTAAAAAATAAAATAAAAATTAAATAAAAAAGCACAGTCTACATTTCCGCATCATGTAGATGGTAAAAGTGACTCTGAAACTCTTTAAAGAAGAAGGATGAGACAAAAAGGTAAGCTTTTCCAATTTGAAGTGTATGCCACTGTGGTGGTATTTTCCTATAAACTCTCTAAAGGAAACATTTTGAGAACTACAGAAAAAAAATGACATAGAAAACACTTATGAGTTGGTCTAGAAGAGCATTTGCTATAAAACTGTCTCAGTGCTGATCAACTACGCTTTTTTTTTTTTCTATGCAAGCCATAATATATTATGCAAGAGATTATTAAAGAAGAAAATGGAATATTTTGGAGGAAAATGTTAAAATGCAGAAAGAACAAGTCAGGCATATATAAGCAAATCAAAACATAGCTGAAGATGCCAAAAAGGTTCCTTGTGTCAGTCCATAGTAGCAAATGTGAAACACAAAGCTTTAATTTTTTCTTTAAAACCTTTTCAGATAAACAATGACTAGTATTTAAAACTCCATTAAATTTTCAGATGTTCTTTTACTGCAAATCCCTTTGTTTGACTTGATAAGAAAAGCCCTGCTGGTTCACCCTTGGTATTTACAGGTGCTGCTGGAAACCAAGTGCTCGGTGTTCAAGTATCCTTCCAGTCTCTATTTTTAGTTCATATTCTCTACTGTGATTTTCTTCTATTTAGCAACCTTCAATGTCTTTCTCTTCCAGCCGCTCTTACCATTCCCTTTTAATCCTTTCTAATCTGTTTGACTGACCACATCCTTTATCCAAACCATGTGCTGTTTTTGCTCTTTCTCTCTCCCTCTCTCTCTCTCTCTCTCTCTCTCTCTCTCTCTTTCTCTCTTTCTTTCAGCTGCCAACATTCACCTGTTCCTGAGCTCTGAGAAGAAGCACACATATCCCCAAGAACTTACTCCTGACTGGTAATGGTCCATCACCAACCTGCAAACCAGAACTGCATTCTCCATGAGCATCACTTTCCTCTGCTCTGAATTTCTTCTGCCATTTTATTGCTGTTAATTGGTCTCACAGCATCCTTTTGTGATTCTTCACAGTCTGATCTTGTTCTCAGAGCCCTGTCATCGTCTACCTTTCCTTCCCACAGCTCACCATCTTCTCCAGGTATCTTCAAGGACCATGAAAATTCATTGGGGAACTCCAGCCTCTGCTTACTGCCTTTCAAACAGCTACTTACCATGCAGGGATCTTCCCTCTTACGCTACAGTAATTTAGTTTCCTTAAAAGCACTAAGTGACAGATTTTGCTGAGAGCCTTTTGAAAATACAAAGACACTTCATCAACTAGATCACCCTTACTCACAAATCTCTAACCCCTTCAAAGAACTCATGAAGGTTTCTAAGACAGTACTAACCTTTACAGAAGCTATGCTGATTCAAAAATAGAACATTATCTACAAAGCCGCTTTTTTTTTTTTTTTTTTTTTTTTTTTAGGACTTTTAGGAATTTCTACTGAATTTCCCATTTTGAGGTTTGCAGCTCCTGAGCAAGCAAAACACCATATATTGTCCACCCTCAAATCTCAAAACAAAGGTAACATGCTCAGTCACTGAATTATTTGTCCGTTTTAAAATACCTGAGATAGCAAAAGGATCATAGGGTTAAAGGACACTTCAGGTTGGAAGACAGTTCAGGATGCCCATAATCCAACCTCCTGCCAAACCAGGACAGCTCTGAGGTCAGACTAGGTAGCTCAGGGTTTTAACTATGTTCTTGAAAACCTCCAAGGACAGAGACTGCACAGGCTTCCCAGGCAACCTATTCCAATCCAATGCTTAGGGACAACATTTTACCTTATATCCACTCTGAATCTTTTATTTTTCAACTTCTGCCCATTGCCTTATCTTCCCACCACCAGCCACTGTTTACAGGGCATCATCTAAATCTACTGTATGCACCTACAAAGGCAAAAAGTTCCATACCACATAATGGATCCAATGCTGTTCAGACCTGTATTGTGCATTAGAAAGAGACCTTGAGCAGGTCAGAAACTGCATTTAAGATATAACCATTTACGGATATGAACTTAGAGTTTCTAGGTAGACAGAAACCACAACAGGTATTTATGTTCAAAAAATATAACTAAAAAAATAAGGCTTCTTTGTTTTGATTAGAATTCTAAAAAGGGATTGCATTTACATTCCTCAATTTATTGCCTGTCAAAATGAAAAGGTGTTTGTTTAAAAAAAAATAATAAAAGGGAGAGAAGGGAGAGAAGGGAAAACTCTAAGCACTACAGAATATATGACTGATAGCAGAGCTGCAAAGGTTTTAAAACAAGGGCCTGAAAAACAAAATTTAGTTTACTGAAAGTATCAGTAACTTGGTTAAAGGTGACACTGATATTAGAGGATGAGATTCTGAAACAAGAGCAGACACACAACTGCAGAAGCAACACACGGGTTCAGATACAGATCCTAGTCACCAATATCAGAAGATGACGAGCCTATGCAGAACAAAGGACCACCGTGTGTATACCTCTTTTACCAGATGCATCCATAAGCAATAAATCTTATTTGAAAAATAAATTCCTTGGATGAAGCATTCAGTAATAACTTTACACTGCTTATAACACTCTTACAATTAAAAAGGTCTCTACAGTAAAACAGAGAAAAAACATACGATATGTAGTGCTTACAAAAAAGTTTCAATGAAATAAAACTCAGATTTTTCTTTGCCTCATTTCCATATATGCTCTTAATTTTGAGGTGATGCAAGAACATGTGCAAAAAAGTATAAAAACAGCACAAACATGTCACAAACAAACTCCATATGGTTGCAATTTTTCTTACCACTGCTGGAAGCCTGCTGTGGCCCTGAACATGCTCTTAGCAGATATGAGTTAGGAGAGAACTCCTCATCAGGATTGGTGTCCATGATTTGATGGGACGTGTTGCTGTCTAGCAATGGCATCTGGCAGCTAACTGGTGGAGGATTATGAGAACTGGGCAGCTGAGCAGATGGGAGAAGGCTAGACGAGGATGTAGGTGGAATGGGACGACCTGGGAAAGAGGACACAGGGATCAAAGATCAGCAATGAATGTAATGAAAAAAAAACACAACCAAACAAGTAATTTTACTGTAACTGTCCAAATAACACACCGCTGCTCAGTTACAAAATCTCTCCACTAGTACGAGCTCGTCCCTTTGCATCATACTGAAAGCACCGTGAGCAGCTGGGCTGTGAGCTCATTCCGGACATCCCTCCCTCCACAGCACCAGGCTGTTCTCAAATTGTTCTCAAACACTGCAAAACACAAGCACATCAGCTATATGTTTTCACCAAATGAATTTCCACAGCAATAGTTCTTTGGCTGAATAAGACCATTGTGAAAGAGGACTATAACGAGCTGAGCCCTGGAATTACAGCACACATCTGTAACCACCTCTGAATTTTTCTATTTGTAGGCATGGGCTAAGCTGTAATATGCATTGGAAGCACCAGGATCTCACGTCCTTTCATTCTCATTTCTTTCTACAATGGTGATCCAGGGAGAGAACTTTTAACTATGAAACCCTGTCCTTAATGTGCACTATACACCTCAGCCCACTGTAACAACATGTGCTTGGTTAATTAAACGAGTGGTATCAGGTTAGCCAAGAAATAATAATAATTATAATTCTTACATATTCTTTGCTTTTATGAACTTTGCTCTCATAACTTCATATCACTCCATTCCATCAAATCCACACAGATGAAGCCAGCTTTTTTTTTTTTTTTGGCACTGCCTATTAAAATATGACTGGCTATAGGGACGAGAGGAGTAAGAGAAACATGCATTCTGACTTCTGCAAGTTTATCTAGTGCATTGGAGAAATTGTTCATGAATAATTTATACATAGGAAAATATGACCTCTGTAATCCTGCCAAAGTCTGCAAGGCAGAGAGAGATCTGCTGCATACTAGCTACAAATGTTAAAACACTGCAAAACTATATAAAATGGTGCATCCTTATTTCCATCACTTTTAAAGAAACAGTAACAGAGCAAATGCATGCTGGCTCTTCGCTTGATTACATCTCCCTCATTTCTGGAACCCCTTACTTTATAGGAATTACACTAAGGTTTATCTCATTAAGTATATATATATAAAAAAAAAAAGGTGAAAAAATTCCAATGACTACATATAAATTATGTTTGGGGAAGAACAATCAACTGAAAGTACCCATAGATACTATTTTTTTTTTTTTACTGCTTGTTACCAGCAAACAGCATGAACTGCTTTCCTATCTTCAGAAGATTTAAAATAAATAAAATAAAAAATAATACTAAAACAAGAACAACAACAACACCCTGAGATAGGCAAGTGACTGTTAAGCTTATTTTTTATTATTTTAACTGTGGATAAATTGATGGTGACTCCAAATGGGCAAGTTATCATGTGGCATATTATCACGTGTTTAAGCGACTCCACAGCAACCCTCATCTACCCTTTTTTATGCTAGAGAAAATTCAATATGAATTGAGTATTTTCATTGCAGACTTGCATTTACCAGGAATAATTCTAATATTGATGACACGAATAATTACTGTTATTACTCATGATTGTGCTATTCTTACGAAACACTACAGCACATAACCTAAACATTCAAGGGATGTAGTTGAGAAAAAACAAACTACTCCTTTGCAATATGTACAAAACAAGCAGCAAGACTGGAGGTTTGACACACCTCTGACAGGAATGTGACACTGTACACACAGTGCATTTAATTCTCACATTCTGGCTCTGCTTCAACATCGTGAAATTAAATGAAGAGGTTTTACATATTCAAAATCCTCATTTATCATATCATAAGGAAATACATACTCATAAAAATGTTGTACATGTGAGGTGATGAGATAAAACAACAACAACAAAAAAAAGAATTTACTTTCTGTGCACATCATATACAATATTTTAAAGAAATTTTGGTACATTTTTTTCTGGAATGTACTGAGACAGATGAAAAAAGCACCAACTATTCTTTTGCCAGGAAAGCTAATCACATTGTTACCTTCATGAAATAATACAGCCCAAATCCCTGAAGACAAGGTAACATTTCTAATTACTACATTTCTGTTTGTAGCCTAGATGAAACAGAAGGTATCAAGTTGTTAAAACATTGCATTATTTTGGTGGGAAGTTGGCTCCTGAGGAAGGTTTGTCCAGAAGTACGTGTTAATTGAAAAACATCAATGTCTGTGAGCCATGGAACCTATTGTCAATCTGTCTTGTGGTTAGATTTTCTCATAAGCTGCCAAATGTGATTAAAGCTTTTCTTGTAGTTGAGGCATTCATGATCTTTCTGTCAGGTTGATTTTGGCATCTACTAAACTCCCAGCACTGCCGTTCTCTCTAGTAGCAGGGCTCTAGTAGTGCTGCTTCTCTCTGGCTCTCCATCCCCCTACACCCTGTAACACATAAGAATGTCTTAAAACACCCAACCTTTTGTAAAATTTGATAGGAAGTGAACTGAAAAATTACTGAAAAGGAACAGAAAAACACATGTGCAGAGAGAAAACTTATTAAGTTTTGTTTCCTTAGGAAATGAATCTAAAGGGTAACTATCTGCAGGACCACAGCTGAGAGATCGGTTGTAAAACTACTGAAAAGAGTTGAACATATGCAGTTAGGCTATAAGAAGCATGACAAAATGATAAATAACATTTGTTACTATATGTTCTTAAGATAGAAATAATAAGTTCAATTCCATACTGTTGAATATTATTATCTTGGTCAAATAAGTCCAGTGTGTTATTGAACAGATTGAATTTTGTAAACCTGAAGCTCCTTGACATATTTGTGTTTCTGCACATACCTTAACATATTTTGAAACCTCCCATCTCTCAAAATGATTCTAACTTCTCATCATTTCACTATGGGACACACATTATGCTACAGTATTATAAAACATAGTGACATATGGGAACATCAGTCTCTTGTTACGCAGCTCCTTTCAGAAATCAAATCCGTAATGTAAAATAGGAATCGGTACAATTTATATCTACTCTTAATGTGCTAATATGATAAAGCTTCTATATATAAGATTTTTATCTTATTGTGCATTGACAGAAATCCTATGTAATGGATACTTCTATTGACAGCAGTAATGCGATTATGTAATATAACCAAAGAAAAACACACACAAATGCTACAAAAGGGAAGCCAAAGTCTAAAAGCTGATGCATTACAAATTCAATAGGAAAAAAAATAGTTCTTCAAATATTTGTTCATATATGTATTCATACTGCATTAACTCATGTGTGGCACAAAAATAGTGAATACAGTATTCCTGCAGCCCTTTTCAAAAGAAGCAAGCAAACAACAACAAACCTTTTCCTTTTTGTTTTTTCTTTTTTCTTTTCCTCATTACTACCTCCTGTCATTTATCTTATTTTTTAAAGTGAATGATAAACGTGATAAGTCATCTTCTGGAGGATGTTCTGATTTGGGATGGCTTTGGGCTTCCGTGCTTCATGGCACCTCATTCTGCAAGGGCTTTCTTGTTTTATTTTTATCTACAACTTAATATTCTCTCCCCGCCCCTGGTAAGATTATATAGCAGACAAACATTGACATTATTTCTGCTTTTTTTCTTTTTAACAGACTCACATCTCTCTTCATCAATCCAGGAAATGACACCTCAATTACTGCTACACTTTAAGTCCCTGAGGCTTAAAATCTGCCTTCGAGTCAGCGTTCAAAAATCAGGCCATGCTTGTAGCTGGTAATGATGCTACAGGTCTGCAACCATCCCCTGCAATGCGCCCACAAAAGCTGAGTATGCAGATCAGACACTGATGTGAAGATTTCTTTTTAAGAAGGATTTCTCGTTAAGGACAGCTTCACAGAGAGAAAGTGGTTGAATAAGGTGCAAATGAAACAGTGCTATGAACTCCAAGTTTCAAATGCATACAAGAATGAGGATAAGGCATTGCTAATGTCTTGAAAAGATCCAGGGGTGTAAAAATTAGAAAATTCTTTGGAGCAACATGCCAGAGTGATAAGGAGTGACTGGAGCAAGGTCAATGTCTTTTTCTTTGAAGATGAGCTTTAGGAGGGAGAGGACTGCATACAAGAGATCTTATTAGAAGAATAAGGCCAAGAGTTGTATCACACTGGGAGCAGAAATTCGTGTAATGGACATCAGCATTCAGACTGCATTGGTGAAGTCCAGAGGCAAAAATAATGATGTAAGCTCCTCGGTTGTCTGAAGTCCTACAATGTAGCATTTAGTTCAAAGCTATCACCGTCATTCTGGCTTCATCCCACCTAACCTTTCAAGAATCTGCAGGGAAGAATGCTGCATGAAACCAGGAACTTAGGATTCTCTATCTGTACCCAAAAATCATTCCTGTTGACAACAATACATGCAAGGAAGTCAAACTTTCCATTTAGTCCAAGCTGATGAAGCAACTGAAACATAAGAGTATCTAAAGAATTGGACAAAAATACAGAGGGTCTATATCTAAAGAAACTAGTTTTACAGATGAAGTGTTGTAGAAAAAGGAAGAATTTGAGGTCCTTTACACCAATCGAGAAATATAGTTCTTTAGGGTATGTGACAAGCTTTGCTAGAAATCATCTAATTGTACTTCAGTAGATGTTGGGCATGTCTGGAGGCCAGTAAGTGATATGTGGCATCAGTGAATGCTTTGAGTTGCAGTCAAAATCTTTGCAGTTCCCAGATCTACCAGAGCCAGGTACTGGGACACGGGCAGCAGCCTCAGCTGCCGTCTGATCACCCGTTGTGCACAGTGCTGGGGCAGTGGCTGACCATTGCTGCTGGAAAGCACCAGAAGAACTCGCTTCAACTCTGAACTCTAGGACAGTAGTTTACATAACAGTAACTACAAGTGGTAGTTCACCAGTTGCTGTTGTAACTGGTTTGTACAACAGGAACAGAAGTGAAATTGAGAACACTGAGGGGCTTTGTCCTCTGACTTGTTGGATGTCTCAGAATTCAGACAATCCTCACTGGCACCTTCAAGTATGCCTGAAAAAGGAAAAATGAGGCTGTGG